GAGTCAAATTCTTTCCCCACCGCTTACAAAAATAAATAGTTGTATTTTGCTAAGATCATAATGGCTCATTAGAAGAGGCTGAGCTCGGACCTAGACGCCAACCCACCAGCACAGGGCTGAGCCTGCGTCTCGAACCTCCAGCGCTGCTGGTTCGCGCTCTCTGGGGAGGGCAGGGCTGGGGGAGAGGATTCAACCTTCTTAATTGTGAACCTCATTAGTGACGGTTGCTAGGCAAAACACACACCTACTTTCGGTGCATATGAACGAGATAAACAATACGTCATGGGCCATAATGACTCTTGCGCTCAGGGCGACCTTTAATTATTATATTTTTGTTCTCTTATACCTTAGTTATTAATGCAGAAAAACAAATTAGTGTGTGTGTGTGTGTGGCTGTGTGACTGCAGCAGATTCATCAACTGTTTTCCATTTTTTGATATCGAGATCACATTTCCTTCTGATAATTATTGCTTGCCTCATTCATTTTTCTGGGTGTGCACTGGAAAGTATTATTTGAAACATAAAATGACAATGATTATATTAGCAGCTTACTCTTCAGCTACCCCTTCAGTTGTTTAATTTTGTTAATGTGAAAAGGCATGATGCTGTCACCACTTGGAGCTTCGCAGCAGCTCACGAGAGCAGCCCCACTGCAACCCACGCGACAGGCTGGCCAGAGAGATTTCTGATTACAGAGCTCAGGAAAATCGTAGCTCTTTAAAAAAATCAAAGTGTATTTGGCCTAAATGCATTTAATTTTATTAAAAGTGTGCTACTTGAGGGTCGTTAGGTGTCTTTAGGTTGCTGCATATTACAACAGAGTCACACTCCAATCTAGCTGCTTTGGGAGGGCGGCTGTGTGTGTGCCCGTGCCCGAGCACGGCGCAGGATTCCGGAGGTGCGGAGACACTTTCCATTCTCCTCTTCATCTCAGACTATCTTCTCTCAGCAGTTGAGGCAAGGAGTCAATCACACTGAGTCACTCTGAAGAAAAACATTTTTCGCTGTTTTTCTCATACCACGGCCTACTGCGGCAATCTGCAGCAGGACGGCCCGGCAACAGGAAACTGACCTCACAGTAAATTCTTTGCAGATTTGGTCATGTTTTTACCATCCACTTAAGCTTGCATACATAACCTGAGACCGTACCTCTGGAGCGAGGAATATGACAAGCCAAAATAAAACCAAATCAAATTAAATAGCAAGAAAAAGCTGCAAGCAAAACAAGGCTAAAAAAAAAATAGAGAAAGATGAAAAATTGGTCGTGACTGCAAAACTTTAAGTATTAAATAAAGAAAGAAGTCCAAAGCAAATTCAAAAGAGACTGTATTCTGGTTGAAGGGCTGAGAGGTACTAATGGACTTTTTTAATGGGTGGTTTGATCGATGAAGAATGAAATCATGTAAAAGTAAATGTAGTAGTGTATCAACATAAAGTATGGTGCAAAAAAGCATTGCAAATAAAAAAAGACATGTAAATGTGTGCCTACCATTTTCCAGATAAGAAGGGGCCGTACCTTCTGAGGGGTCAAGGCGGCGAGCCCGCCTTCCATGTTTGGAATTGTTGTGTACAAACATGTTGTCTGAGACAGCCAGAACGTGGCCATCCACATTGACTGTTGTTGATACAACAACCTGAAACAGAAAAAGAAAAAAAAATTAAAAACCTGCATGTTTTCAGAAATGTAGATAAAAAGCAGATCTTTTAAGACAAGCAAGTTCACAGGCTGGTACTTTTCCCTTTGAATAGAGTGAATGACAAGCAGGAACACATCTTTGTTTCTGTGGCTAACGCTGGTGATTTTTAACTCACAATTGTTTCTGTTCAGAACCTGCTACACTAATTAGACTTTAATCTCCTATTATGCTAACAAATGAATTCAATTCAGGGAAATATTCTTCTAGCCATTAGTTTCAGAAACACCCCTCTAGCCACTCATTTTAAAAGCTGCTGTTTTGATTGATCTGTTGATATATTGATTAGATAGTTTATCTAATTAAAATTTGTTCACTTGAGACTGTCTTCAAATGAAGGGTTGTGAGGATTCCAAATAAAAAAGCTTAATAAATCAGGAACCATCGTAACTCCCCATTTTTTCTTCAGCAAATGATCTCCAGGTCAGTTTTACAATTACATTTAATGTCTGATAATGAACTTTTTTGCATCTGAAAAGACTGAGTTGAATATGAATAGTGAAAGTGTTTTCAATCCACGACAAGTATCCCCTCTCAAGTTCATTTGGATGGTGATTGACCCTGGTATGTCAATGGAATTTCCTCCTTTATTTTTGAGTGAAAGGCTCCTATTCTTGTGTCCAGGTTCAGAGTCCGGCCATAGGAGAGATGATGGATAGGGCCTTCTTTGGCTTCCAGCTGCTTCTTAGTGGAAAACGGGAAAGGAACATATGCAAAATGCACAACCTTCCTGATAAAAACACCTACACAACGGGCTTGTGAAACACGCTCCGGAAACGATACTCCGTGAACACAAGCCAAAGAGGAAATTATAAAATGTGCGTGTGCTTGTGTGCAACATAGCTTCATACGCTGGTTGTTACTATCCCAGACAGGCATTTACATCTTATTTAAATACTCCAGCATGGCCCCTGTGGTGCCGGTTCCGGATTTTCTAAATGAAGAGTCACTGTAGCATTTTCTTGGTGGTTTAACATCAGTCGAGTTCTTACAGTCAACGGCTAAGTCAGACTGGGCCTTTTCAAGCAGCCTGGTGATGGTAGCAAAAGCTGGCAAAAATTTTTGTTTTCATCTCCTGGTTAACTTACTTTTGGCTATAACAAAAATGATTTTCAGAGTTCTCACAGCAGCTCTTATGCCAAGGACAAAAAAAAATGAAGGGAAAACTATTGTGCTCCTGCACAGAGCTAGTCCGGGGCATCAGAGGGAAATTCTCGTCTGTGTTTTGGATCACCCCGATCCTGTTTCGTATTCCCAGCCCGGAAGCAGCTCTGGGCTATCCCGGCGCCTCCCCGTGTGCTGCAGAGCCCTTCGGAGCAGCCCGAGGGCGGCTCTCTCCCCGTCCCTCTCGGCCCACGAGCGGACGCTTTCGCTCCCGTCCGCGTCCACTTTGGAGAGTGCTGGGCTTGCAAAGGCGCCCGAGCTCCAGAGCTATTGCCATGCCACCGGGCAGCTGCTTTCGCCTCTAATGAGATCTGCAGGCTTCAAAAATGCTGCAAAACACACAAGTGTGATTTTCAGCACGGATTTCTGCGTTTGGATCCTAGAACATGGGATATGGAAAAGGCAGAGAAAGGCGAATGTAAAAATGACAACTATTTTTGTTCTGTCATGTATATATAGGTCAGTCACCAAGGGAAAATAGTGTAGTTCAGCAAAAGAAAGTAGACTTGCTATGTTTTGTTATATTGGCTTATTGCTGCAGTACACCTAAAGAAAGGTGCTGAGATAGTGAAACCAGTTAAAAATATTGTTCAAGATCTGACATACTGTTAAGTCCAGTTAAACCTTCTGAGAGGCAGGGAGATTAGCTAAAGAGACCCAGGAAAGTCTTTCTAGTGTCTACTGGCTCCACTACCGACCACAAGATCACTCGTGACTGACGCTTCATTTAGTCATCGGTGAGACAAAGAGGACATTTCCACTCATTCCAGGTTTGACCTTCTGTTCTGCTCAGATGGATCAATATCACCAATGCCACGTGAAGCTGAGATGCATGAAAAATGGAAGCTTGGCTCAATTGTTCTGAAGAAATATTTTTCCCAGCTACAGATCTTTCCTGTTGGCTGGTTCAAGGGTTCTGGCTTCACCGGTTGGTTGGCTGTGCGTGAAAACAGATGTCACATGTTTTGCTACCAGGTTTAACCACAAGTTATTCTTCTCAAATATTAGAAAGTTTTGAACATCTCAATAGCAGTTTGTCGCTTGTTATTAAATATGAATCATTTTGAAATAATTTGAAATAAAAAAGATATATTTCTTAATAAGCATTTCAAACGGCCCCTAATACGAAGGAAATCATTTGTCCAACATGTCAGATGTCTTTGTGTAGTGTTATGATTCACCACAGGGTATTTCAAAAGCTGTAAGAAGAAAATGAAGTATTAAACACTTTCTAAAACAGCTGGAACAAAAATATGCCGGTTGAATCACCACTGCTGGATCTGCAAGTTGTAAGTGTGATTAGGAGAACTACCGTGTAAGATCCAAACTTCCCTGACTTCCATGGCTGTATTTCTACTGTTTAATACAGATTTATTTCTACAGTTTAAGAAAAATTTGATGACACCCGGACTATGTGTGTAAGAAATTCTCTACAGGTCTCAGCATCTTCAGGGCTACAATGAAACTGGTGAAGACCTATGAAGGAACTGTCTACTATTGACCTTGTTGAGTCACAAGAACAAGCACTGAAGTTACTGTAAATGTAAAAGTAATCTAAAAATGCAAATGCAAATGTGATATTACTATAATGTAAAATATTGTTATCACTTCTTTGAAAGATATACAGCATTGAAACTAAACTAAGTAGAAGCACTGACATTATATTTTCAGGAAGAAAAGTTCCCAGTTAAGCAATTGGAAATTTTGTACACATCTTTCATATATGGTTTGTCTTTTGAGAACTCTCTGTACCTGGAATCTCCGCATATCTCGTGGGTTGCCTGCATTCTTCAAACAGTTCTGATTGCACTTGAGGAAAAACTTTAGAAAGAATCTATAAAAATAGAAAATTGAAATCTATTAGATTCATCAAAATGTAAATCCAATTAAAATAAGTTTAATAAAATTTAATCATAAATAGTTATACCCAAAAGAATACTGATTGTGAAATATTACTTTCCTACTACTTAATGAACTTGTTTTAAAGCATAAGATCTCTGTCACAAACACAACACTACTGCCAGGGAAAGGCAAATTTATATTTTTAATTTTTCAACAACTATAAATGTATTGACTCCAGGCCATATCCTTAGCTGTTGTAAATCGGTGTGGGAAAGTTGATTTCAATGAGTCACTGACTTCAAAGGCAATGACTTACACCAGAGGAGAGTTTGTTTCTATTTATTTAATAAGTTTTATTTTTCACAACTTGGATTAGCTGTAACGACCTCTCTGTCGAGAAATTCCAAGGTAATGAACGATGAGTCTTCTTAAAAGCTCTTGGCTTCGCCTCTGGTTCAAAGGGACCTGATCCAAGTCCTGCTGTCTTCAGTGAGAGTCCAACAGGGATCTGCCCAGGAACGCCCCTGGCACTCGCCGTTTAAAAGCATGGAGAACATGGAGAGGTATATCCTATTTTCTGGCCACTTTACCCTTTACTAGCCTCGCACCGTAAGGAGCCACGCTACCTCGGGACAGAAACCCAGCTTGTTTGAGCTGAGTGGCGAGGGGGAATTATTTAGGACTAAGTCACCTCATCAAGGCTCTTCCCCACACCGCAGTGTTTTTATACTAGCGCTGCCTTGCAGGAATGAGGAGGCACTTACAGGAAGGGGGAAACTTCAAGGGATGCCACCTCCTTTCTTGTTGGTGAGCAAGTACACAGGGGATGGTTCCATTTTTTTTCCTTCTTTCCTTGTTCATAGAATGACAGAATCACCGAACCATTAAGGTTGGAAGGGACCTCTCGAGATCATCTAGTCCAACCCCCTGCACACGCAGGGTCACCTAGAGCACGTGGCACAGGACTGCGTCCAAGCGGGTTTGAAGATCTCCAGAGAAGGAGACTCCACAACCTCTCTGGGCAGCCTGTTCCAGTGCTCTGGCACCCTCACTGGCAAGAAATTTTTCCTTAAGTTCCTGTGGAACTTTTGGTGCTTCAGTTTGTGGCCATTACCTCTAGTCCTCAGGGCAGATGTTCCAGGCCCCTGATCATCCTTGTGGCCCTGCGCTGGCCTCTCTCCAGCAGCTCCACATCCCATGTTCTCAAGATTGCTCTGAGAAGCCCGGAGCAATACTGTAACCGCGCTGATGGCCCACGGACCCGGGAGGTCAGGGGACGCCGCTCGTTCCTCCCCGGGTTTGGAAGCCGTTCGCAGCCTCACGATGCCCCTCTACACAGGAAACGTTTGCTCCGTTTGTACCAGTGCAACGTGCTGGGGTCTGAGTGCCGGCCAGTGCTCAGCCACTGGGGACACGCAAGGCCCAGAGCTGCCCTGACGTCCAGCCCAGCAGCTCCCGCCCGGCCGACACCTCCTGCACCACAGGGCTGCGCAGAGCTGTGAGCTTTTGTGCTTCGTGTACGAACACGGAGTATTAATAACGTCAGTCTTCAGAAGTGGCCACGAGCACTGGACACGCTTGGCAGGAGTGCTCACGTGCACGTCACGTCCCTGCGAGCAGAAGCCCAGCGGTTCCCTCCTTCCTCCGAAGCGTCGCGGCGCCAGCCTCGGGACAGCGGGGACATCGCAGGGCCCGGACAGGAGGCTCCAGAGCCAGCGCCGCAGGTCACAAACTGCCACCCTCAGCGGCGACGGGTCCTCTCCAGCCGGAGCCTGAGCAGCGCCGTGGCGTGGGGTAAGGCTTGCGGCACGGCGGGAAGAGCCCACTCCCGCGTGAGACACGTGAGCAGGGAAATGACCTCGTTTATTTAAATTGCGCATGAATAAATCAATGCTGTCAGTTCAGCTGAATGCGCTTTTTAAGAAAAACTTCCCATCCCGAGATGCTGTAAAAGGGTCTTAGCCTTTGAGCTGTAGGAGCTTTGGATCTCCCCGGTGGTTGAGGGGACCTGGCTCAAATGCTCAACCCAACGCTGGTTCTCTAGACCCAGTGTTGGAGGAACCCTACCAGGAGCATTGGCAATCCCAAGACTTCAAATCTGCCTCCTCGTGACCCACATTCCCATCGGAATTTTGCCAGCTTTGGGATTTTTTTAAGATATACCCTTAAGATCTCCAGAGACTAACTCATCAGCCGAGTATAATCTAAGTGTAATGGCGTTTCTGCCATCTCTCTGCTCTTCGTCCATGCCGCCTCCGGCGCGGACGGCACTGGAGTTGACTCCCAAAGCGGGAAGGGCCCCTTGTCCTGCAGGCGGATCCACAGCCGGGATGTCCTGCAGCCTTACGGCTCCCCCGGGCCCCGCGCAGCCCCTCGGAGCGGGACGGGGCCGCGTTTCTCTGCTCTCGTGCGGCTGTTTGGGGGGCCTGTGCAGTTAATGTTTGTAAATTGCTGGCAAATCCTCACACGGGCTGTGTACGAGGAATGCTCAGCGTCAGCCCTGGCGGGGCTGGCATCGTGCAGCACTCCCGATGAATTGTCTCTAGGCAGAAACATCCTGTCAAAAAACGCCCGTCAGCTCTCACTGCACATCAACCGGAATCCGGCCTTAGCACAATTACTCGGTGGGGAAAAAAAAAACAAAAAAATAAAAAAAAAATTAAAAAAATTAAATAAACTTGGTGGAATTAGACATGTCCAAGTTTACCACAATGAACCTGAACATCAAGCTAAATAAAGAGGATACGGTAGTGGGGTGAAACACCAGCAGCATCAGAATTCCAAATTCTGTGTGTTTCTGGATATTGATGATTGTACAAGTCTGTGCAAACGGAGCAAGGGTTTTTGGAGGAAAACAGCAATGTCAGCAAGCCGTGCCTGTGGGCAATGGCATTTCTCAAAGCTCGCCAGCGGGAGCGGGCACATTTCCCTTGTCCCCTCGGCTGATGAACAAGCCTCGCGCCTGCTCACCCTGCAGCAGAGGCCAGAGCAGGCACCGTCCTCCGGCAGCAAGAGGCAGGAGAGGGATTTCGGGTCCGTTTCATTATTTCTCACACCTTGTTGCTGCCAAGAGAACAAGAGGCCCAGCTTGTGCTGCTTTGCCTTGCAGTGCTGCATTTTGCATTGTGAACACAAACGTGGTCTTTTAAATATATGTAGTCTTGTCCAATGCCCTTTCTAAACACATAAACTGTTCCTAAAACACTGATAGAGAGAAAAATTCAGCCTCTGTGGTTTCCTTTTTCTCTGTTCTTTTTCACTCTCCTAGAAATGGACTGCCACCTCCTTAATTAAAATGTATTACCTACCACAAGACTTCACTATTTTAAGATAAAATTTACCTCTTTTATTAACTCACCTCACCTATACACTTAGCTGCTGATGCCTCTTTCTGCCCATCTGCCACGGGCGTACAGTAAGTCACTTGATATTCCACCCACCAATTTTTCCTAACAACCACTGTGCAATTAAACTCAACACGTTCTGTTGCGAGGTAAATTAGGCACACCTGCGGCCAGACTTCATTTGAACTGCATCAGAAAAGGACCTAACAAGGTGAGCGCGTACCACAAAGTTATAGTCCTGTCAAGCAATTAGGTTTTCACTTCTGGGACATCCGCACAGTGCAATTATGCTACACATTACAACCTGGCTAATCTTCTGAACAAATGTCATGTCTCAGAGAAGCTAGTAAAAGCAGTTCATCTGCAAATGTGTCTGCTCTTAAGCCTCCACCTTGCACACATAACAACCTACAGGAGACTTTCTTTGTGATATGAAAGATGTTTTTTCCACAGAAGATTTTTAAAGCCCTGCAAGTGTCTTTTCATCCTTTTCACCTCTTCTTAACCTCCTCGAGAAGAGGTGCTGCAGCAAATGGTCTAGTTAGACTTTTGTACTTGAATTTTAACACTAGCCAAGCAAGAAAATACTTAGTATTAGGAGCACGAGGGGTGGATTGAGCTTGATCCGATTCAAATGTTGTTTGGCTAAGGCAGTATTCACTGCAGAAAACTCAGTATTACCTGTAGAAACACCATTATTGCAGCCTATCTCTGGCAGGCCGCGAGACCCAGCCAATGCACCGGCTGCACAAGCAGCAGTCTGCGGAGATTCCCTTCTTTCCGCCTAAAACACGGAGCGAGAGCACCCTGAGGACACTGCGCTCCCTCTGCCCGGAGCCAGCCCTGCACCGCGCGACAGGCCAGCGACCTGCAGAGGAGCAAAGATCTGCTCCTCTGCTCCCTCGCTGAATCAGATCCCCCCAGCTCCAGCCCTTCGGAAAGGGCAGCAAGCGGGCTCCCCCACGTGCCCTGTTGGCACAGTTTTGTTTTACTTTAACAGTTCTGTTCTACTCTTCAGCTATATTTCAGGTATGCAGTCAGCGTGTTCAATTAAGCCCACAGCTAAGGTATGGCTATAATGCAGAATGCAGAACCGTTCAGATATGACAAGACTGCTCTGCTTTGGAGAGCAGAAAACCTAGGATTCGGATCATTATCCACAACTCTGGAGTAAGGAAATGCAGTTCTGTGGAGCAGAGCTGTCCATGGGCATGGAATGCTGCTACAGGGCAGGGGCAACAGGGAAAGGGGGGAGAAGACACTTGAAGTCAAACGGTAATTCTCATGCTTTACTCTATTACCCCTTAATTGGCTTTTTCCTAAGAAATATCTGACAACCACTTTGCATATCTCTTTTCTAGAGCCTAGTAAACAAAGGATTTAATACTCTTGTTATGAAAGGAAAAATCTTTCCTATGTCAGAAAATCTTTGGCTTTAGCGCCAATAAACTCTTTATTACTGCGAAACTTGGATTTGCTGCTCGATCGCAAAGAGGCGATAAAAACTCTAACCTGTCATTAGTGCATTATGCTTAATTGTGTACAGTATGTTTCCAGTTGCATCTGTTGGCCCATTATCAAAATGACCATTATGTACACTAATTCCCTGACCCTGTCTTTATTTCCCTAAAGAGTCATAATCTTTCAC